GCCATCTGCGCTCCTCACCAAGAGAGCGATAGAACGGGCACCCATGGGCTCCACAGGAGTCGTAAGCAATATTTTCCTAGTGGAAAAGAAAGGCGGCCGAATGCGCCCAGTCATAAACCTGCACCCACTCAATGCTATGGTGAGGTACCACCATTTCAAGATGGAGGGTATCCATCTACTGCGAGACCTACTCCTTCCAGGGGACTGGTTGGTAAAGCTGGATCTCAAGGATGCGTATAGCCGAAGCATCCCGGGGTCTCCTGCATTTCTGTTGGCGGACAGGGACTTGGAGGTTCACCTGCCTTCCATTTGGACTGTCATCAGCACCATGGTGCTTCACAAAATTGCTGCGCCCACCTATGGCCTGGCTACGCAGTCGAGGCATTCTTCTAATTATATACTTAGACGATATCCTGCTCATGGCCCAAGATCGCTCCATACTTCTGGCGCACCTGCGTCTGGCGATGAATCTACTCTCCCGCCTGGGTTTCATCATCAACCAGGAAAAGTCGTGCCTGACTCCCGCCACTCGTATGGAATTCTTGAGATTCCTAGTGGATATGGAAGCCGCCACTCTGAGCCTTCCGAAGTCCAAGACTCGTTCGATATGCAAGGAGCTCCGCAGAGCTCTCATACAGCCACACCTCACCTTGAGGCAACTGGCGCGCCTAATCGGTCTCCTCGCATCCTCTATTCAGGCCGTGTCCCCGGGTCCACTCCATTACCGCGCATTGCAACGCCTGAAAATAGCTCACCTGAGAACTGGCACATCCTATGCGGACCTCGTGGCGCTAGACAGCGAGACGAAGGACGAGCTGCGATGGTGGATCCTCAACCTATCCACTTGGAATGGCAGGGCAATCTTCGGCTCCATGCCGGAGTTCACCATCGACCCAGATGCGAGCCTCCATGGCTAGGGGGCTCATTGCGAGGGTGTGGCGACAGGGGGTCGCTGGTCAAAATCCGAATCCCGACTCCACATCAACGCATTGGAACTCTTGGCGGGCTCCTTCGCGATCCACAGCTTTGCGAGGGACCGGGCTCATACATGCATCCGCCTCCGCATGGACAATGTCGCCGCGGTGAGGTATGTCAACCACTTGGACGGTACTCAGTCTGCGGTTCTGGACAGATTGGCGAAAGACTTCTGGGAGTTTTACTTAGACCGGAACCTGGTGGTCCAAGCGGAGTACCTACCAGGACTACACAACGTCCAGGCGGACTGGGGTTCACGATATCTATCAAACGCCAGCGACTGGAAATTGCACACGAACATGTGCTCCAGTTTATCATCTCTCTGGGGCCCTTTTCGCTTCCTGGCTCAACACCCAACTCCCACGGTTCTTCAGCTGGTGGCCAGACCCGACGGCGGAGGCAGTGGATGCCTTCCTGCAGGACTGGAGTGGAGGCCTCCTATACGCCTTCCCCCCATTCTCCATGATCCCTCGCACCCTTGTTCACTCCTACAGACACCTAGCCAAGCTGGTCCTAGTGACCCCTTCTGGGAAACGCAATCGTGGTTACCCCAGCTTCTCGGGATGACAGTAGATTATCCCAGGCTGTTGCCATCCTCCCAGGAACTTCTACTGGACCCGTTGGGGTGTTGCCACCCCCTCCTGTTAGAGGATTCCCTCCTGCCCTGGCTTGGCGGATTTCAGGGGACCCTGGGAGTACCAAGGAGTTTCGGAAACTCCTAGATGCCTGCTTGCAGAGGCATGGGCTCCCGGCACTAGATGGGCATTTGGGTCAGCTTGCCGAGCTTGGGCTGGCTGGTGCCTGGCTAGGGACATGGATCCCGTTTCAGCCCCTGTTACTACGGTCCTACAATTCCCGACTTCCCTCTTTGAAGCAGGTAAGGCCTACAGGACCATCAACCTATATCGGTCAGCCATCTCCTCGACGCATCAAGGGTTCGATGGCTGCCCGGCGGGCCAGCACCCCCTGGTGTGTCGGCTCCTCAAAGGTTCTCACCTATGTCGACCGCCGAGGCCGCGCTACACCGCGACCTGGAATGTATCGTCGGTATTATCCTTCCTCACTTCTTGGCCTACTAATTCCGTGTTCTCCCTACGACAGCTGTCAGCCAAGTTGGTCTGTTTGTTTTGTCTCATCTCCTGCAAAGGGTCTCGGATGTCCGTGCACTGGACTTTGATGCCAGATCTTATACCCCTGATGGTGTCACATTTAAGATCAGCAGACGCACCAAAACATCTATTAGGTCAATATCTTATCCGAGCTTCCCCTCTACACTGGCACTGTGTCCGGTGGCCTGCCTACGCGAATATGAGGATCGCACCAAACTACACCGTTCCGCGTCCTCTCCCCATCTATTTTTAGCAATCCGTCCTCCGTTTAACCCCGTCACTAGCACCACCTTGTCTCACTGGGTTAAATGGCTACTCTCTCAAGCCGGTCTTGAAACTGTGCTTTTTGGCGCCCACTCGATCAGGGGAGCCTCAGCATCTTCAATGATGGCTTCAAGTGCATGCCTGGAGGATCTCATGAAGATGGCTGACTGGTCGAGGGAATCGGTTTTCCGGGAATTTTACTTTAGACCGGTTCCTCATACGTTTGAGGCAGTGGTCGATAGGCTTTAAACTTGCAATATTAGCCTCCGTGTCTTGTGATAAAATTGCATGATTTTGCTATTACATGACAAAAAGTCATGATTTTACTAAAGACACGGAGGCCAGTATTGTCCCACCCATTTCTACTACCCATGTTATGTTTAGCTTGTTTCCCCCCCCAGTTTTTTTCACTGTATAAGTGACATGTATTGTCTTGCTTGGTACAGTGGGGCCTGTGTTGGATGGGATTTGACTATGTAACTATGTCCGTTTGGGTTTATCTGATTCTTTCACTGCAGATATTGGTGGGGCCTTGCGCTGCCTGGCCTTGATGTTAGTCTCAAGTACTGGTTTAACTCCTGGGCCCCTGTTCTTTATGTTTTCACAGCCTAAACCGATCCTGCGGAGTATCTGGCTTCAACATGTATGGACCTTTCCCTGCTAATGAAGTTTGGTTGGAAGTTATCCAGTTATACTTTCCTGTTTATTGACGTGATGATCCTCCTCTTGGCTTGCAGTTTATACGTCTTTTGGCTTCTCTCTGGACTATATTGCTGTTCCTGTTATGGACTTTGTGTATAGTGTTGCATCTTCAGAAAGAGGGAAATGGAAGGGAAGTGCTGCCTATTATACTGGGACCTGTGCAGGGAGGGGCCTATGCTACTGTATGTTCATTGTTTTTTCATTCTGTTTGTATCCTTTGCTGCTATTGGTGGACGGTAAAGAAAGGGATATGCAATATGAGCCTCCGTGTCTTTAATAAAATCATGACTTTTCGTCATGTAATAGAGTTGTTTTTTTTTTTTTTAATATTGGCTTGTAAGCTTTATCACACATATGTCCATTTTTCATCACATATCAGTTTCTGTCTCTAAACTTCAAAGTGAGTCACTGGCTGTCATATGTTTACATGATAAACAAATGTCTGTTGCTATGGTAACAAAATTGCATGCTTTTTGGATCTAGCATCTCTCTGCATAAAGACAGAGCTTGTGCAGCAATCAATCGATTATACAATTAAGAAATAAACAGTGACTATTATAAAATAAACTGATGTGCTTTACCAAAATTGCTTATGGTTTAATAACTTTATTGAAAGAGGGAAACAAAAAGAAAGTAATTAGTACATCATGAAATATATTATATTCATTTGAGAATAAACCTTGATGGTTCTCAGAGTCACTTAACAATGATTTAGTTTACAGCAATGTATATGAATAAAATACTCAATATAATCAAGAACATTTAGTTCAAAGTCTTTATTTCTGGGTCATCAGTCCTTATTACATCTCTATCTGTAAATTCGTTTTTAAATGTGGATGTACCCATATTACATTGGCAAGCTGCAGTTCTAATTTATTTATTTTTTGTCTCATCTTAAAAATGCACAAGTAATGAGCAAGTTTTCCTTTTATTTTAAACAAATATGCCATTAGTAATACAAACCTGTATTTCTTACACTATTGTGTCCCTTTCCCTATCCCTAGCACTAAAAAGCACCTCCCCCCCCCCTTTTTGTTCATTATAAAAAAAAGAAAAAAAAGTCACATTTTACTCACCTATTTTCAGCATTGAGGCTCCATCAACACTGGTCACCTCTTCACCTCCTGTAACATGAAGGAGGAGAAATGGCCTCCATTGTGCTGGTCATAGAGGAGCATTAGGAACCTAATATATAATATACACGTATGGAGAGTGCCATTCAAACTTCCTAATAGGAAAACAAAGAGTCAATGCTTTCCAACGGGAGCTTTTGTATCACGCGACCATGTTTTACTCGGTCAGTGCAGCAAAAGTGTCTCTAGTGGCTGGTATACTGACAGCCACTAGAGATGGGATAAACCCTACAATGCAAAAAACTGCAATGTTTTACAGGGTTAAAAGGACAAGGACACTGCACCTAGACCATTTCCTTGAGATGAATTGGTCTTGGTGAGTATAGTGTACTTTTTACAAAGATCCATGGACTTCATTAGTTGCATACTCAATACTTTTGGTTTGAAAGCTCAATAGCCACACATATGAATGCACTATCGCTTTGTTTAATATTAAAGATACACACACGGGGGCGGGGCCTGACCGTCATGGCGAACGGACACATTTCGCTTGAGCTCCTCCACAACTCTGGCAATTAATCCACAAAAAGACCCCACACAGTCTGATTTCAGTGACAATTGAAGCCCACTCAGAAGCCAGACCTTGCTGGAGCCGGCGGCAGGGCGCCGAACTGCCAGCTTGAGACAGGATGCGGCCCAGTGCACACCGGGTGGGAGAGGCGGCCGACCTCCCGCTCAGGGGCTACCCTGCAGCGGCACCTGTGAAGCATGCACCCCATTACGCCCCCCGGGACCGTTGGGAGTAATCAAGGTCCGACCTGGGAGAACTGCCCTCGCCTGGAGAGAGGGAGAGGTGATGCTGGTTGACTCACCCAATATGACAGACACAATGCGCTTTCCCCGCCATCAGACCGAGCTACAAGACAAGCTGGCGGCCCTCTTCGACGCCTTCTGGCTAAAGTTAGAAAGCCGGGCACAACAACAAGCCTCACTGCACGCAACCAGCCAATTACCTGACCGGCACCCCTCGCATACTAAATACCAAGCCAGGGTTCGAGCGGCGAGGAAGGCCCCAAGGGGAAGGCGGAACAGACCACACACCTCAGCCAAGCACAAGAAGCTATACAAAAAGAAGCCGACAAGACCCAATGCGGAATTCTGCCGAAATCACACAGCATACCTGGACACTCCTACTCAGGGAATTAAACAACCGGACACGAACACACCGGTGCTCAGAGGCCTGAAACCCCTTACTGAACTGCAGTTCGACAAAGTGCCCACAGCGGGAATCGGCTGACCGACCCTGAGGCAGGCACCACGGGGCCCATGACCTCGCTACATCACCACGCACAGCTCCCACATAAAGAAATGAGCAAAGGTTATCGTCATGGTGCTACATCACCCCATGTTGCCCGACTGGCCGGAACCTGTGCAACCTATCTCACCTGATTCCACCAGCCTGATGTTCCCTCTCCCCCTGGACAGAACCGAAAGGACACCTCCTGGGGCAAGCAAGCTCCATGACATTAGTAACATGATTGAATGTGTTTAATAGTATAACTTTGTCTGCCTCTACCGGCATATTCTGTTTAAAGCTGTTATATTAGGATTGGCATGTTGTACAATATTATGATCAAGCTCAGCATAGCTATGGACAGTAGCATGTCTCTGGATCCCTAAGCATACTAACATAACCAGTAAGCGAACGTCACTAACTCACTCTTAATGGCAGTGTCATACCACTTAGAGAGAATACCCTGCCTACCTTAAAACATGCCATAGCTTGTTCCCAGACACATGTCTCCCACTACATCTGCCTGACGTGCACTATAAGCGCGGGACCTGCTATACCTGCTCACATAGAATTGTTAACACTGAAACTGCCTGACATGTACCACAAACATTGAACTTAACACTCTTGTGATTACTTAACATGGTAGGCAGCAATAGACAGTTAGACCAGACCGTTTAGTATACGCTGTGACAATATAATAACGTAAGCATAGACAATGGGAGCAACCTGCTATGCAGGACTCTAATCGAGACAAACGTAATGTAATGTAACCTACAATGTAGCGAATCACTGGATAGTGTGGAAATGTTGCATTGGATCCATAGCATGTTACCTACGCTTGTATATTATATGTTAATCTTTATACGTTCCTGATGTTAACCAAGATGTCTATCCTACCTTTCATAGCTACCAACCTGATTGAAACTAATAGTATAGACATTTATGCCTAACCTGACTCATTTAAAAATTTGTGCTGTCAATGATTGCCATGAAACTGTTAATTCTTTGTTATTTCATCAACTTGTATCTGCTGTCGTGGTGATATAAGTATGTTTGTAACTCTAAGCACTACAAAAATAAAGAATTAAAAAAAGATACACACATGATAATATATTTTGCGTATGTATAAGAATTTTTATATATATCATCATTGTGGCCACCATTTTTTTTTTTATTTATAATTTGGATTATTGCAAATAATGCTACATGAGGAGATTCATATATAAACTGTAGAACCACCTTTGTATACATATTCATAATTTGTATTTTTTGTTATTTTATTTGGATTTTGATTAATGTTTTTTACATTTGTTTTCATTGAGTATTTCTCCTTATTTATTTTCCCTTGTATTTTTCATTTTTCTGTTTTGGTTTTAATAGTATTTACTTTTTATGAGTATATATACATATATCAGTCACAACATTGAAACCACCTACCTGATATTGTGATTAGTACAGTAGGTAAAGTCAATTAACATAAACAGGGCAGACTGGCATCACACAATACAGTCTGTAATTCTTGCTCCATTCTCTCCTTGTAAAAGAGAATCTGAGATACCACAGAACCAAGCAAAGCCTAATATTTTTTTAGAAATAATCTCTTCATCTCCTAAAGTTGAGACGTAAAAACTCCAACACATTTTGCATGTCTGTCCATGAACTAGACAAGTAATGAATGAATTGGATATATGTATTAGACATAATCACTTTTTTCCTGGTCTAAAATAAAAGTTTTCAATGCATTTTCTTAGCATGTCAAGGAATTATGTATCAAGTAGGTGTTTCTTTTCAGTGCATATTTGCCTGGCTATACAGTGATAAGCAGTCCAAAACTGCTCTGATGCATTAAGGCATGATCTCCACAATACCTCTGAATGTGTTGTATAATATCTGGCATCAAGACATTAAATGCAGATCCTTTAAGTCCTGCAAATTGCAAGGTTGGGCCTCCCTGGATTGGATTTGTTGTTTCAGCACATCCCACAGATCCTTAATCAGATTGAGATGTGAGAAATTTGAAGGCCAAAGCAACACCATGAACATAATATTTTTTGCAGTGTGGCAGGGTGCATTATCTTGCTGAAAGAGGCCACTGTCACCTGGGAACCCCATTGCCATGAATTGACTGTATGTGGACTGCAACAATCTCAAGGTCGGTGGTACATGTCAAAGTAACATCCACATGAATGCCAGGTTTCACAGCAGAATATTGCCCAGAAAATAACACTGCTTCCACCGACCTGCCTTATTCACATCCTGCTGCCATCTCTTCCCTAGTAAACAATACATATGCACATGGCTATCAACCTGATATAAAAGAAGACTGGATTCATCAGACCAGGCAACCTTCTTCCATTGTACCATAGTCCAGTTCTGATGTTCACGTCCCCATTGCTTTTGGCAGTGGACAGGGGTTATCATGGGTACTATGATAGGTCTGTTGCTTGCAGCACAATACTGAGATACACTGTGTGTTCTGACACCTTTATATCAACGCTAGCATTAGGTTTTTCAGCAAATTGAGCTTCTGTGTGATCAGACCAGACGGGCTGGCCTTAGCTCCCCACATGCATCACTGAGACTTTAACGCCCATGACCCTGCCACCGGTTCATCAGTTGTTCTTTCTAGCACCATTATTTGTTGATACTAACCACTGCATACTGTAAATGCCCTAAAAAATTGCCATTTTGGAGATGCTCTTACCCAGTAATCTGGCCATCACTCTTTGGCCTTTGTCAAAATCTCTCAGATCTTTCCACTTGCCAGTTTTTCCTGCATCCAAGACATGAAATTCAAGAACTGACTGTTCACTTGCTGCCTAATATATGCCACCCTTTAACAGGTGTCATAATAAGACTAGAATGAATCTTATTCAATTCACCTGTCGGTGCTTTTAATGTTGTGGATGATCGGTATATATTTCTTTAAGATATAGAGGGCACCTATGGGTTATACTTGATTTATAGACATGGTATGGAATATTGTATTACCTCGGACCATACACTTTGCTTTATAAAAACATTAGTAGTTACATTTGTTACTATACTTTTCCCCTCAATTCATATAAATGCCCCCCATTTGTCCTTAATGCAGTGATATTATGTAGGACAGAGACAAAGCACATTGTATTCTGGGTGTGTGGATCTCAACTGATCTTGGATGGACTTCTATTTCATTTTTACTGTTGGTGGATGGAAGCATTATATAGGAAATCCCAACAACATGTGTGTAGAGCGATGACTTGAGACATTAGGTCACCAATTGAAATGCACACCCAACTGCTATTGAATGTATGAATCATCCATCAGTAGACCCCTAAACCAGATACAAAGAGGGACATTTAAGAAACTGCTTATGCTGTTGAATGCTCTGTATTAATTTTTTTTTGCTCTGTTTGGAAATGCCCTGTTGGGCCTAAACGTGTAGGAAGAGGTGAACTTGGAATGTGCAAAACCTGGTGAAACTGTTCAGGGAGTGACGTAGGGAAGATCAGAGAGACTGTCAGTTTTCAAGTACTGTCTAACCATAGTGGTATATATATAGCTGAAAAAATCCTGTCATACATTAAAGGTATGGATATGTTTTTCTCTTTTTATTTTTATATATACTCTATATTTTAAAAAAAATTTTTTTCAAAACTTGATGAAAATAATTTTATATTAAAAATAACTTTCAGGTGACAGTTTTTAAATTTTCATGTGAAGATGTCATTTATTTGATCCCATGACACACTTGCTCTTTAAAGAATACTCCAGGCACCATAACAACTTAATCAAAATTAACTTTTACTCGGCGCCTAACCTGTGTGAGTGCCTGGGGCCTCTATTCAAAGAGTCAGAACTTGACAATTCATAAATGTCACACAGATGCAAACAATATTTATAAAAAAAGATGTCAGACATATTTACTGGTAAAAAGTATATTTATGGTGTCATACTGGCTTTGCAACCATGAGTTGCCTTAGCATAAAGTGTAAACATGTCCCTTCTTATAGATCTATTTATATAATATGGGTTCATCCATACATGAAAGTCATCCTGTTCCTATGGTAACAAATACATGTCACAGAATATGTCAAATGTTTAAAATAAAACGTTGCAAAGATAATTATTTCAAGATGACAGTGTTGTGCTTGTGAAAAAGAAACATATTTGATTATTATAAAAAAGTGGAGTTGGAATGTCAGAGTGGTGGTAATGTAACTTCAGAAACCACACTAAAACATAATGTAAAACAGTATGATAAAAATTAATTGTTTGAAAAATAATATATAATATAAAATATTAGAAATGTTTGTGATACAGAAGGGAGTAGATCTTTTAAAATGTCAGTAATGCTTTAAAGGAAAAGTTTGCATTAACTTACCAGAAGTTAGCTATGGATTGTTCTATTAAATATTATTTTTTATATCACATGTGCAAATGTCAAAATATACCCTGGTAAATCATAATAACTTGCACTAATATGCACTAATAGGGAATTATAAAAGGAAATGTCACTGGGCATCTTCACAGGCCTACGACATCATGAAGGTATCAGCAGAACCTACATGTGCTATAAAGGTAAAAGTGCTTTAAACATCTGCTGCACTACTATGACATTAAAAGCTTCACTATATTGAGGTGAAGGAAAGAAGAACAAAGAATTAAAACAGAAAGTACTTGGCAATAAAGGGTTTAAGATGTGGAGTGCACTACTTATAATTGTCTTTTTTTTTTTTGCAAATTCAGTAAATGTTTAAAATGTTGATTTGTTTTTTAGTAAGACTAAAACAGACTTTCAACGTTATAATAATTGTATTCATACCAATTAATTATGAGGGGGAAAGCACATTAAATGAACTCTGTAGGCACGCTGACCACTTTATCTCAATGAAGCCTCTGGGTGCCATGTCCTTTACATTGTTTACATTGGATTTAAATGCCTCTAGAGTAGGCATAGGCAACCTTCAGGCACTCCAGATGTTGTGGACTACAACGCCCATGCTGTTGCACCCATAATG